GGGGCAAAGCCCTTGGACTCTCCTAATACCTCTTTTGCTACTTTTCGGATACAACTAGCCATGGAATCCCACATTTGGCTAGCTTCCCCCTCTCTATCCCACACACATTGGGTGATTACCTTCTCTTTGAAAATGGCTTGTTTTTCTTCTTTTAGATTCCACCATCTAGTCCTTGGGCACTTCCAAGTCTTGTTCTTTTGTCTTACTCTTTTGATATGTACATCCATCACCAACAAGCGATGTTGATTAGCCACGCTCTCTCCTGGTATAACTTTGCAATCCTTACAAGTTATACGATCCCCTTTCCTCATTAGAAGAAAATCTATTTGTGTTTTTTGACGACCCACTCTTGTAGGTGATCACATGTTCTTCTCTCTTCTTAAAGAAGGTGTTGGCTAAGAAGAGATCATATGCCATTGCAAAATCCAAGATAGCTTCCCCATCCTCGTTTCTCTCCCCAAAACCATGGCCACCATGAAAACCTCCATAGTTGCCTGTCTCCCTGCCCACGTGTCCATTTAAATCTCCTCCTATAAATAACTTCTCCGTCTAAGCAATTCCTTGCACCAAGTCTCCAAGATCTTCCCAAAATTTCTCCTTCGAACTCGTATCCAACCCTACTTGAGGTGCGTACGCACTAATCACATTGATAAGTTCTTGTCCTATTACAATCTTGATTGCCATGATTCTATCTCCTACCCTCTTGACATCTATAACATCTTGTACCAAGGTCTTGTCTACGATGATGCCAACACCGTTTCTCGTTCTATTTGTGCCCGAATACCAAAGTTTAAACCCTGAGTTTTCTAGATCCTTTGCCTTACTACCAACCCACTTAGTTTCTTGTAGGCACATAATATTTATCCTTCTCCTCACCATAACTTCCACTACTTCCATAGATTTTCCCGTTAAGGTTCCTATATTCCACGTTCCTAAACGCATTTTGCTCTCTTGAACTCTACCCTTCTGTCCTAGCTTCTTCACCCTCCCCCGTCTAATAGGATCAAAGTACTTCTTTTGTGTGTCCCGGGTAAAGTTGATAGGAGCATATGCTCCCAAACAACTTTGAGTGGAGTCGTTCGAAAAGAAGTTTCTATGGCCCCCTTGCTCATTTAACACTGCATCCGGGTGCCGATGGAGATACAGCGACCCTTGCTCACTTATCACTGTGCTCGGGCCACACAGCGCGCCACTTACGGGTGACGCCCTAGCTTTAGCGCGATTTTGTTCTGGATTCATTTTCATAAGGATTCGACGTGATCATGGAGTGCCGGCTGTCGACTACCTGACGCCCTCCCAAAAAAAACATAAAAAATTGTAAAACGGCTGGAGCTGCACCCACCGGCCCGAAGGCCCTTTCTCCTCCCCTGCGGCCCGAGCAACCAGCATGGCTGGAACTGCTCTAAGAATAGAAAGGGATCCTTGGATCCCTTACTCCTAATCCACCAAGTCCGGGGATCCGGGCCATTGAAATTTGATCCAACAGCTATAGTTATTATAACCTTTAAAGTGGGCCCTTGTTTATAGCAGTTGGATCAAATTTAAATGGCCCGGATCCCTGGACTTGGTGGATTAGGTGGAAGGGATCTGGAGATGATCCATTTCCTTTAAGAATTGATACATATAAAATTAAAAAATTGAAATTTTTTTATAAAAATTTAATGGGTACAAACTTATTCTACTTTTATTTTTTTTTATTTGGAAAATGTTTGAATTGAAAATTAATTAGGAGTTTAATAAGGGTGTGAGTATTAAAACTCTAAATCAATTACTAATTTTTTTATAAAAATTATGTAACTTACATGTAATTCATTAATATATTAATAATAGAGACTTTGATCAAAATCTAAAAACTAATAAGGTCTTAGTCAACGAACATTAGTGTGACAACCCGCCCCTAAATTTTTAAAGTGTGAATTTACGAAAATGTCCTAGAGGTGAAGGTTTTGACTTTCATTGACCAACATGTAGTGAGACTTATGAAATATTCTTTTAGTGTATTCCTAAAGTACTCGATGATAAGGACGCGTACGCGCAAACAGAAGAGAATTTGGAGTTACGGTTAAATTTTCACGGAGCTACCAACTCGAAAGTATTTTGAAGAAATCACTATTTTAATTATATTATATTATTTTATACTACTAAATTATTATGCCACATGTGTGTGGCTGAGAGGGGAAGAGAATGGAATCAGGGAAGAGGAGAAACAGAGGAGAAGGATTGGGCAGAGCTGCCCAATCAGAGGAGGAGAGAAGAGTTACGGGAGAGAAATGAGGGAGTGGGCCGAATCAGGAGAGGAGAGAGTGAAGGCTGGCAATTTAGAAGAAAAAGAAAGGAGGGGAAATGAGAGAGAAGTGGATCAGCCGGATCCCTTAGTCCCACAACCCAACCCGCGCCCTTACTCAAATTTCGACGGGCTTTCCGTCCAAATTTTGGCTTTCTTCAACCTCCCATTATCACCAAACCTCATCATAACCTCCCCAACCCCTAATTCTAGCTAAACCCGACAAGTTTTAGCCCGATCTTGCTAGAAATTCACCCACGGGTCTGAGCACCCTTTGCTGGGAATCCACCAATTTCTTAAACACTTACCCTCGATCACCATTATCAAAACACCTCCCTTGGACCTAGGAACAAACCCAAGCATTGGTAGTGGCGGCGGAGCATTGGTGACGACAAATCGAAGTGCACCCATTTATAGGGTTCCGGTGGTTTGAGGAGATTTGAGGCTTTTCCCAGTCAAATTGGACTTGGCCACATGTATAAAACTTGCTCTACTCATTGAGATCTTCATTTCTATGAAGTTTGAGATTTTTTAGAAATAGTTGGATTTTCTGGCGAGTCGGGACGGCTGATCACCGTGTACGGCGACACGTGGGCCGAAACATCCCCTAACCTTCCTAGGCTAAAGTTGATTCTCCAATTCCATATACGAAGTCGGATTGACGAATTTCCATCGTTTGAACCTAGTTCTATTAAGGTTCGTCACTTGACCATTTTATGAATTGATGATCCAACCGTTGGATCATCACCAAACTTTAATACATTATAGTATGTAATATTTGAGGACATTGGGAACTTAGGGATTAAGAATTCGATTTACGGATCTTCTCGAATTGGATTTGTAAGTTCATAAAATAAAACGTTAACTGATTGGCAATTGGCAGAGATCCAATTGTTGGATTGTAATGAAACTTTAGTATAAAAAATGTTTTAGAAGCATAATGCGGATCTTTGGAAGTTACAGATTGGAAATTTGAGATGCGGATCTTTTGGATCAAGTTATGTAGGGTTGTGGACCCTACCGTCGATCTTTGACCGACGATTGATTTTGGTCAATGGGTCTCAAATCATTCTAGAACGTCCTTAGGATGTGTTTTATGTAAGTTATGTGTTCTATCAATAAGAGTTCTGAGACGTGACTGAATATTTGTTTTAGGTGACGATCATTCGTGACGTCTCGATATTCGTACTAGGGAGTCGTAACGCGGCCCTCAGGTGAGTGGGTCTTTTCATTTTTATCGTACATAAAACAATTTGCTTATTTTAAACAAAATCAAGGGCCAATATTTTTTTATGGGTAAATTACACTTTACCACCTCAGGTTTGAGATCTGTTGCAACTTCATACAACATTTTCAAAACATTTCATTTTCATATCTCAAGTACTATTTTATTTCAATATAATACATCCGTTACATTTTTCATCCACTGATCCGTTAAGAGCTAACATGGCTGCTATATTTGTGCCACGTGGCAAAAATATAATTTTGTACCCATTAAAAACATTATAATAATTTACATCATCCATAAGTTTGGTCGCTGAGATTTAAAATCAATAGAAGTAGTCATTGAGATTGTCCACCATCCATGATTTTGGTCCTTCCGTTGAAGCTTTTGGCCAGAAGTTTGGGCAATTTTCAAAGCTTCGTAACTCAATCGTTTCTTAACCAAATTCGACCCGTAATTTATCAAAATGAAGATAGGAAAGTATAGAATAAGATTATATCTATTTGGAAGCCCAATGATTACTGGAGATGGTCAGAAAATAGCCTCAAAATTGATTGGTTCAAGGGAAAACTGGAAAACTCACCGGAAACTGGGTAAACTTTAAACGTTCATAACTTCTTCAATACTCAACGAAATTAAGTGATTCAAAAACAAAAATCATACTTCTCGACGAGAAGAAGAGAAACCTCTTTCAACGGCTAAATCGCCATGGTTTGGCCAGAAAATGGCTCGAAAGTTGTTGACTCATTTTTCAACAGCCACTTTCAAGCTGTTTTCCGGCCAAACCACGGCGAGTTAGCCATTGAAAAAGTACCATTCTCTTCTTCTTGTTGTGAAGTATGATTTTCATTTTTGAATCACCTGATTTCGTTGAGTATTGAAGAAGTTATGAACGTTTAAAGTTTACCCAGTTTTCAACGAGTTTCCGGCAAGTTTTCCAGTTTTCCCTTGAACCAATCAACTTTAAGGCTATTTTCTGACCATCTCTGGCAATCATTGGGGTTCAAAATAGATATAATCTTATTCTACACTTTGATATATTATGGGTCGAATTTGGTTAAGAAACGATTGAGTTACAAAGCTTTGAAAATTGCCCAAACTTCCGGCCAAAAGCTTCAGTGGAAGGACCAAAATCATGGATGGTGGACAATCTTAGGGACTACTTCTCTTGATTTTAAATCTCAGGGACCAAACTTATGGATGATGCAAATCTCAGGGACCATTTTGAATAAAAAGCCTAAAAATAAATAAAAATTGAAAACCCAAAAACCCATTCCTCCGACCACCTCCCTCTCCTCCACTATCTTCACCTCCCCTCCCATCCAAAAAACCCACACCATCCCACCCCACCCTCACCTCCTCTCCCTTCTCTCTCCCCAAAGACCCACTCACGTGATTTGAAATCCCAAAAGTTTCGATTTTTAAATATATCAGCATGAAGAACATTGATAGAGTCGATTTGAGGAAAAAAAGGGGATGAATTGGAGCGAGATGAAGGGAGCGCTACCGAGGCTTCAGTTAGGAGAAACCCGCCAATCGGCGTTTCCACGTCATCATAGAACCCCTCTCGCTTCTAGAACCTTTTGGAAACCGAAGCTGTCGACGACAGCCTTCCCTTCTCCGCTCCTTTTGGAATCAACGTTGACCCCAGTTTCAACGACCGAGAGTTCATACTCAGCCAAGACTTATTCTGGTAAGATCCTACGAGTCATCAATTTCGTAAATTTTCAAGCTTTTTGGGATTTGAATTCCAAAACAGATGAAAAATTGGATTTTTCTTGCTCTGGGTTTTGACTAATGTAGCACTCCCGATTATATCACACCAAATAATCAACATATGATGAATGACTGGGATTGCAACAAGGTACAATTGATGGAATAGATTTTACAATTTGTGTAAAATTGAGCTTGGGTGTAAAGATGGTTGCTTTAGTGTGTTTTGTTTCTATTTTTAGCTGGAAGATATCATTTGCCCCAGATCACCCGAGAAGTTGAATACTGTTAAGTCGAAGAGGCGCAAGAGGTGGTGGGCTGACAGGAAAAAGAGAGAAGGTGGTTCAGGGAGATGAAGAGGGAAGAGTGGGTATCTAGAGAGAAAGAAGGGAGATGAGGTGGGGTGGGGTGGGGTTTTGGATGGGAGGGGAGGTGAAGAGAGTGGAGGGGAAAAAGGTGGTCGGGGGAATGGGTTTTTGGGTTTTCAGTTTTTTTTTTTTTTTTTTTTTTTGTATAATTTTTTAATAGGGTAAATTATTATAATATTTTAATGCATAAAAAACTTTTTTTTGCCACGTGGCACAAATGTGGTAGCCACGTCAGCTCTTAATAGATCAATGAATGAAAAATTTAACGAATGTATTATATTGAAATAAAATAGTACTTGAGGTAGGAAAGTGAAATGTTTTGAAGATGTTATATGAGATTGCAGTAGACCTCAAACCTAAGGTAATAAAGTGTAATTTACCCTTTTTCTATTGATAGATCAAGGGCCAATATTAAACATGGGTGTAAAGGTGGGTTCAGTTCCGAATGATTCAATTTTTTACCAAAACCAAAAATTAAACCAAAGTCACTGTTCAAACCAGTTCATTTTTTCTTTTGTTTTTTTTTTTATTCGGTTTAATTTGGATTCGATTTTGTCAGTTCAATTTAGGTTCGATTCATTTTTTTATTTTTTATTTTTTTAAATGAACATTTTAAAGCCCACCAGCCACCTCCCACCCAACATTCGATATTGGTCCCCAGATGAAATGCCTGTGAGCTTGTGACCTACAAATTCCAAACTTTGGGCATGAAAGGCCCCAGAAAGACAGAATTGAGTACCAGAGGAGGAGTAGGATCAGTACTAAGTCTGCTTGCTACCAACAAACAGGTGGGACTTAATTATAAGCAAAGAATAATTTACACTTTGCATTCCTTCATGATGCCATTGTATTAAGTTTATAAGATAGATCATCAACTATGATACACAAATACTTCTGTTTGGTCGTGCATCTTGTATCTGATACTTAATCAAATACGATACTTGCCTAATACTTTCAGATATTTGTCAGATACGTATCATGATCAATGAACACGACTATAACTTGATGGATACACATATCCATAGACCAAGCATACCCCACATTTAGGATAAGCGAATCTAGTTTTTAGGATACATTTACACTTTTAGAAAGATAAGCTTATAGAATAAGCATACCCCACATTTATAACTTATAGAATAAGCTTATTTTTAGATACGGCCCATGGAACTTGATTTTAATCTCATTTTACTCCCTGTAACTCAAAAGTCACCACTTTACTTCCTAATACTCAAAGTTTGCTTCACTTTGCCCTTTGCAACTCAATTTTGATCCATTTTGCCCCTAAAATTTGAAAGTTGTTTCTATAAAACTCAAAATTCGTACCACATTGCCTTAAATTTGTTAATTTCCTAAGTTGGTTTGATTTGGATGCTCCAACCTAATCAATTTCTTTTTACTTTTTTCATCTCTTCAATTTCTTTTAAACTTAATATTCTCTTATTGTTAAATGTTAATGCATAATGGAGATTTATAATCAAATTTATTGCACATGTGACATAGTCATGTTGGATGTTGGGTCCCACACATGTTTTAAGAGGTGATCGATAAGTTTCACAGAGAATAGAAAGTCTACAAGTCAAAATGGAACGAATTTTGAGTTTCAGGGAGTAAAGTGATGACTTTTTAGTTACAGAGGGCAATGTGAGATAAAAATGGAATTCCAGGGATCGTAACTAAAAATAAGTCAAAAGATGATAAGGAGGAGAAAATTAATTAGTGATATCTATAATTGAAAGTTGATGAATACAAAGATCTTCTCTCTAATTAAAACCATGAATACGACTCTCACACTTCTTCTACTGTATATAAAAAGGATTAGAATTTCTAACTTTCTTCTCCAACAATTCAAATCTACTTGAATTGAATAATGAATAATGCTTTAAATTGTATATTTTATTGCTATATATAATAAATAATGCTTTAAATTATATATGTTTATTGCTCTCTCTCTCTCTCTCTCTCTCTCTCTCTCTCTCTCTCTCTCTCTCTCTCTCTCTCTCTCTCTCTCTCTCTCTCTCTCTCTCTCTCTCTCTCTCTCTCTCTCTCTCTCTCTCTCTCTCTCTCTATATATATATATATATTATTTGACGTATCTCTAGCGTATCATATCTTAATTTTTAGAGATTTTTCGTACCACTGTTTCGTGTCATATCGTATGACCATATCTGTATCCATGCTTCATAGATCAGCCCGCTGCTTGCAATCTGCATCGGGCATTTCGTGTGTATTTAGTGCCAAAACTAGAATCCGAAACAAAAAACGAAGAACATATACATGGTTTAATATTGAAGAATAAGCAATTATTCTTGTTATTAAGTATTAATAAGCTAATTTTTCACATAATTACAACTTGGTATTCCCCCACTTTTATGCCGACTTCCTTAATTAATATTTTTTTATATACTTTAGAATATATTTATTCTAAGCGTTGAAGAAATAAATTGATATCGAAATCGTCATTTACAAAATTTGAATTTAAAACTTTTTACTTACAAGTAAAGAAGAATATCATTGGACTAGACGGTAGTACTAAATGTATTTGTAACTAAATAATAATAAAAACTATGAGGAGCACAAGTCAACCCCTCCCTTCATTACTAACGCTGCCCCCAGCTCATCTACTTGCCTCCAGATATGTGGAGCACAAGTCACCGGACAGTTGATATGGGGGTTTGGCAATGACTTCAAATGGTACCTGTATTCTCCAAATTAAAGAAGTATGAAATACTGGACTAGAATCATGGAAAATTCGCACATAAGGGATAACATGAAAATATTTATCACAAAAAAGGGTGCAGAACCCGGTAAATGAATACCTCTTAAAAAGAACGCAGTGGGTGGAATTACATACTCATAGAACCACATTAAGATGGACACTTTTTTAGCATAATTTTTTTAATAGTTAATGATACATGGGTGACGAGAGTGATTGAAAACCTTATCACACATCAAGGCTTAGATTTTTAATACATAATGATACATGGCGTAATGAAAGTTAGAAATTTGAGCCTAGATTTTTAATAAATATTGACACATGATGCGTTGAGAGAGGTTGAAAATCTAAGCCAATAATGTGACGTGGATGATAAGATTTACTTAGACTATTTAAACAATTTTGATTTGTGTATAGTAATTGTCTGGGCAACTCATAAATTGGTGGAGTTTAAGTCTATAAAAAGAACCGACGATGAGGTGGCCCGAGCCTAACCCTATTTTTTAGGCTGTGGGTTGGCCCGGCCCAGTCAGTTAAATATTGCAATAAATCAATTGTGATTATTGTTCATGCCCAACCCATTTTTCATTAGATGCAAGTTGAAAAAAAAAAAAATCAAATGATAGGATGGAATTCACTAACAGTCTCAAGGACATCTATAGCTGAAAACATTTTAATCATGTTTACTAGAGTTACCAAGCGTTATCCCCGCCGTGTATCACAAGATCGTTGAAGTTTAGTTTCTTGGTTAACTTCTTTTTCCACATAAATGGTCTCCCTTCTTGATTGATTTAGTGTCTGCATTTCTAAGCATGTCACACCAATTGGTCAATGTTGCAACGACATGAGAAACTAATGCAAAATTTGTTAATATATTTATTCTGTCGATAACTTTATAACCTTGCAATTGCAAAGGCAACGAATAAACTGGCTATTTTTGAACTCGTCAATTTTTTGTTATGCAGGTCACTTAATTTAGCAAGACAATACTTACAACGACTAGTTGCTGGTAATTAGTTGAACACATTCATACGACAGTCAATATGTTTTTGAACAGTAAGTCGCCATGATGATAGGTAAAATAAAATTAACCCAAGAGACTTCTGTAAAATCAAGTTTAAACAGAAGAAACTAATTCGTATTAAGTGTGCTAGAAGGTGTAGTTAATTGGTTTGTGAGAGCATGTATGTTTTGCTTCCAAGGCAATGCCAACAGATGCCAGCACGAATTGAGTATACTAGCTAGAAACTGATCTCTAAGTTTAATAAAAAGCTTAATTGCTTAATTTCTGAGTATCTGCGTTTCTGAAACCAAGCTCAGCAGCTGGTTAAATTGTTTATTGGAGAGCTTTGAATTAATTCATTTTTTATAGAAATTAATTAAGAGAGAACTATTAATTACTGTAATGTCGAGGATTGTTAGAGGGCACGGAGGAAAGAGAGGAGAGTCGGTGGCGGTGGCCGTAGACAAGGACAAAGGAAGTGAACATGCCATCAAATGGGCAGTTGATCATCTTCTCACCAGAGGCAAGCCTCTCACATTGCTCCATGTTAACCAAACAGGCTCCGACCCCCAACAAACCCAAGGGCTCTTTCTTTCTTTCCGTTCCTTGTGCTCCAAAAAGAATGTAAGTGCTTTCCTACCATATCTATGCTGCTTCATTAATTTCTATTTTTATCTTCTACGTGATAATCATGCACCCGATAAGTTTACTCACCTGGAATGAGAAAAGGTTAGTAGGCGAGAAAGAATTCGGAATTAGTATCTATCTCATTCAAGATTGAGAGGAGAGATAACACTAAGTCAGGATGACATTTTCGAAATGTCTATAACAACTTCATTGTCATGTTTGAGACAGATAAAATGCAATGAAGTCGTAATCAAGGACACTGACATTCCAAACGCAATCATCGATTATGTTACGGCTAACACTGTTGAGATTTTGGTACTTGGCGTACCATCCAAAAGCGGCCTTTTCAGGTGATCATTAACTATTTCCTCATCATTTCTGTTTGATATTTTTCTTCTGTATATAATATATACACCTTAATCAGTTCTAATATTTGAACCCTAATTGCATCAACTTTTTTTTTCTTGTTTCTCTTCTTCCGTTTTTTGTTCCACAAAAGATTTAAGCTCACAGACGTTCCAAGCACAGTGTCAAAAGGGGCACCGGATTTTTGCTCTGTTTATGCGATTGGCAAAGGAAAGGTCTCGTACATGCGATGTGCTACTTCTGCACCCCAAAAATCTGCCCAACGTAATCAAGTACAACGCCAACCAAGCCCTATTTCTGAAGCCAGATCTTCAGGTTTGTTTCCCACCTCATGATATCATAATATCGTGCTTTTCATTAGTTGCTAATTAACTGAGTTTATTTGATTAATTCAGCATTGAATAGGATGCAGCACTATTCTGCTCGTAACCAGCCAGATGGTGACATACAAATCAAGTAAGCCCTAATTTCTTGGTCCTATCCCACTTGAGTGAATAGGTATATCTATATTTTGGAAATGCATGTGTGTGTGTGCGTTGAGAGTTTATCCCTCATTGGCAACTAATTGGTTTTGGATTTGGATGTTTTAATTCTATGAAATAAAATGCGTGGATGAGTTCTGTTAGGGTACTGTAGATATACAAACTCATGCTTTGCCCTTTCCAGCCGGAGTTCTAAAAACTATGGAAAAGGGAATACATGTGTAATAAATGAGAGGGCTAACCAAACAAAAATATATGATTTACAGGTCACCGTTCGCAAGAGGAAGACCCTCCATGGACAAATCATATGAGCTTTCACCAGAAACTGATATATCATTTGTAAGCAGTGGAAGGCCAAGCATTGATCGCATGTCACCTCGCTGTGACTTTGGTGTAGAATCAGGAATGAACTCTCGACTTTCAATCGGCTCAGACGGGGACAACAGAAGCTCCACATCGTCTTACTCAAGACACAAGTTTTTAGATATGGGCTCTTTACAATATGAAATGTCTTCATGCTCAACCGACGGTGGAAAATCATGGTCATCGTCACAAAACATGGTACTTAAGAGAATTTCCCAGGATATTTTGTAGACATTAGAATTTTCATGCCCACCTACTATAAACCTTTCATCAAAAGCTTGTACGGTTCTCATTTGCATCAACAATAACAGGACGATGTGGAAGCTGAGATGAGGAGGCTCAAGCTAGAGCTTAAGCAAACAATGGAAATGTACAGTACAGCGTGCAAGGAAGCTATGACAGCGAAAGACAAGGTATATATGATGTGGTACCTTATTCAAGCGTAGAATTAATTTTTGCATATGTTCTAACAACAAAATCATCACAGGAAAAAGAAATTAACAGGTGGAAAATGGAAGATGAACAAAGGCTAGAAGCAGCGCGACATGCTGAGGAAGCTGCATTGGCACTTGTGGAGAGGGAGAAAGCAAAATGTAAGGCAGCCATTGAGGCAGCTAAAGCAGCTCAAAGGATTGCTGAATTGGAAGCACAAAAAAGAAAAGTTGCAGAAATGAAAGCCCATAAAGAATCCGAAGAGAAGAACAAGGCACTTCAAGCAAGGTCATATGATCTTAGGTACAGGAAATACACAATTCAGGAGATTGAATCGGCAACAAATGATTTCTCACAAGCTCGAAAAATCGGTGAAGGAGGCTATGGACCAGTGTACAGAGGTGAACTAGACCACACACCAGTGGCAATAAAAGTTCTACGTCCAGATGCAGCTCAAGGACAGTCGCAGTTCAAGCAGGAGGTTTGTGACATGGAACATGATCAAAGTTTAACTATTATATATCTTCAATTATACAACAGTCTCTTCATACGCTTAGATAATAAACAACACAACCAAGGGAAACTGCTAATATTAAATTGTTGAGAGTGAATCCCACATCGGAGAAAGAAGAGACCTTGCATGTGCTTATAAGTAGTTTAGCTACTTCCCATATTGCCAATTGGTTTTATGGTGGAAGCTCAACTTTCCTTATGGTACCAGAGCAAGTTGTCCTGTGTGTGAAGCCCCACTCCATATTACCCGATTTGTGATTTGTGTTGTCCACGTGAGAGGCATTGTAGACAACATGCTCTAATATCATGAAGAAAGTTGGGACTCCACCATACCAATGACAATATAGGGAGTAGCTCAATTTCTTATAAACATATACAAAGTCCTTCATTCCCAATGTGGGATTCACTCTCAATAGCAATTACTATGTTGAATCTGATCATGAATGAATCAAAGATTGCAGTCAAACTTGTTTCCATATTGAGACCACATTGTTTGAAAATTAAAACGATCGGGTAGTTTTCTTGTGACAGAAGTAAAGGAAAACATAGATAATTTTAGAAAAATATTACGAAACTAAATGAGACAGAATATAATATGAACTTCGCTCGTGTGAGTACTTTATCATGCAGTGACCCTCTTAAATCGCATTAGTTGAATTTTAAATTCTAGAATTATTGACGCTCATTAATCTCAATGGGGATTCAATCTTTTGATCATGTATTAGTGTGGATATTTATCTGACGGCCCTTAGTTTTGCAGGTTGAAGTATTAAGCAGTATACGACATCCAAACATGGTTCTCCTCCTTGGAGCTTGTCCGGAGTACGGTTGCTTGGTCTACGAGTACATGTCTAATGGGAGCTTGGAAGATCGTCTCTTCCGCAGAGGTAACACCCCAGTTATTCCTTGGCAGATAAGGTTCCGAATCGCTGCAGAAATCGGGACAGGGCTTTTGTTCTTTCATCAAGCCAAGCCAGAACCCCTTGTACATCGTGACCTAAAACCTGGAAACATCTTGCTAGACCATAACTATGTGAGCAAGATCAGTGATGTAGGTTTAGCTAGGCTTGTCCCTCCATCTGTAGCCAACTCTATCACTCAGTATCACATGACATCAACAGCCGGAACATTTTGCTACATTGACCCAGAGTATCAGCAAACTGGCATGCTTGGGACAAAATCTGATATCTACTCACTTGGCGTCATGCTTCTACAACTAATAACAGCCAAGCCACCAATGGGGTTGACTCATCACGTTGAGCGGGCTATTGAGACGGGAACTTTTGCTGATATGCTTGACCCTGCTGTTCCTGACTGGCCAGTTGAGGAAGCCTTGAAGTTTGCCAAGCTTTGTTTACAATGTGCTGAAATGAGGCGAAAGGACAGACCAGATCTTGGCAAGGTTGTGTTGCCTGAACTTAACAGATTGAGAGCACTCGCGGACGAGAGCTTCAATTGTGTCATGTTTGGTGCTGGTGGAGTATTTTCACCGAGACAACGCTCGAATCCCTCAATGCAAGTGAGTAACATAACATAAGCCTGAACTGCATACTTTTTTCTGTTTTCTTCAAGTTTATTTGTTTAATTCATTTTTTTCTTGTATTTAGGATGTGATAAGTCAACAATCCGGATGTGAAAGCTCAAGGAGCCGTTCAAGCACATCATCATTTCCTGGAAAGATGGAGTTCTCAAGTTGACAAAACATTCCTCATCCAAAGTCAACAAATTCACATTATCTTAATCCTGATCAGCTTGACTATCCCAGCTACATAATCGGAGTTGTTCTTCAGTTCTTCAGTACGTTGTAAAGTTTTTATTGAAGTAGTTTCACGAAAAGAGGGAAAGATTGTATGAAAGAGAAATCAACTGTGTATGTTTCGAACTCGTAGATAATTTGATGATACAGAAATTTTAATTTCATAAGGGCTTCATTTAGAGATTTCAAGTTTCTATATCTTACCTCTAAAACTCGTTTGGTGCCTATGAAATGGTATAGATCCGACAACTCATTATATTCGAAGTATGTAGAAGGAAGAAATGAAGAAATTTGTCCAAGTTGTTGGTAGAATACGGATAACTCACCATATTCAAACTGTGAAGACGATGATGCCGTACATCAGGAGAGGCCACAAGGTGAGCAGCTCTGCTACAAGTACGCAGAGCAAATAGAAGCATCATCGCCCTTAGATGCTGTGCTACTGCTACTATCTCTCCTTCTGATAATAAATTAAAATTTGAATGTATCTTGGTGTGTTTGACAACATCAAAGTCATCATTTCAAATCAAAACCACATAAGTTAAATTAATGTGAGTTATTCTGCTTCAAACAATACAAAGAAATTGATAAGAGCCCAGCATGATGAGGGAGATGGCGACCATTGACGAGGTTGGTCGACAGATGGTGAAGGAAGAGGGAGGAGAGAATTATGGTCTACAAAACTCATGAAAAGAGGCTTCAGACAACAAATTTTAAACTTATTTACGATCTGTCATTGTCTCCGACTTCAACTTATTTATGATATTGCCTTCAAACTACGAACTTATTTACCGCCACTGCCCCTTGTCTGTATTATTAATAAAAGTTTTTTTTTTCATTAAAAAATTTGTCAAATTTGAATGATTTTATGTATTCAATTCTTAAATTTATACGATCAAAACAGTTTATTTGCAAATACGCGATACGTGAATCCAATGGCAGATGTATGATTTGAATTTTGGGAATTTCAGTGTTGAATGTCTAAGTTTTTTAAGTAGAAATAGAGCACAAAGTGCGGAAAATAAAAACTCAATTTATTAACCAAAACATTTGGTCAGAGACTTGATAGGATTGTTGTCGTCAGTCAAACCATGTTTCGCACATGTCATCAGATATCGACATATCCCCAAACAATCTGATGAGTGACATCGAGATAATTCTTCTAGTGTTATGCCTAGCAGGTATTACATCAACACATAATAGATATAAAAAAATATTCGTATAAAATATTCGGAAGGTTGTTGGTGAAGAAAATTGTGGTTCCACCATAAAACTAATTGGAAATATGGGGAGTAGCCCAACCTCTTATAAGTCCATACAAGGTCTTTCTCCTATCAATGTGGGACTCATTCTCGACATGCTCACTCAAGTATGGCGAATTTTCAAACCTAACATGTGAACAACACAACGGGGTGACATGGAATGGCCATTTGGCTTCACAAGTGGGACAACTTGTTCTGATACTATAAAGAAAGTTAAAGTTCTATTATAAAATTATTTGGCAATATAAATAATAGCTCAATTTCTTATAAGCTCATATAAGATCTCTTATTCTATTAACGTAAGACTCATTTTGAACAGTTGAAAGACCTTCCCAGTATAGTTTTCAGACTCCGAAAAATTTACGGGACCAACAACAAAGAAGAAAAAGAGTTTCAATGAATTATTGGAGGTCAACATCTTCTTTCCATAAAGTGATACACGACGAGGAGTATTCAATGGGTTAATTAAACCAAAGTGAAGACAAAACAGCAGCCGCAAATACTGATCCAAGTCCTAACTGCCAATCCAGGACTACAATTTTGGAGTCTAGCAAGCAGATTTCTTCATCATATATAAGGTTGGCCCACAGTGGGTTGCCTACCCGGAAATGACAAACTTTTGTTGTTGAAATATTACAACTCATGTCACTGGCGGCGCAGAAGATCTGTTCTAAAAAAAATTATCTTGGGTAAAAGTATGTTGATTGCGGTTGCAGAGATAGCGTGAAGACGAAGGAGATCCAGGAAAATTATCCACGATATATTGAGGATATAACAACTCGTATGGATGATATACTCATAATATTTATGATATTTCAATACTATATTTATACATGGATATCAATATGGACATCGTATCAACAATATTCACCTATTTCAGTACTATTAAGACATTGTATTAACAATATCTCAGTACTATATTTATACATGGTTACTTCAGGCATTTCCTTATTTTATCTCTCTTTTTCAAACAAAATTAGCCACATATGCTCTCTGACCAAAATTGAATTCAATGGCCATTGATGAGTTAGGAATGGCATGTAAATTATACCTTTCAAAGCAACCAGTTCCTGCAACCAAAAAAAAAAAAAAAAGTATTCATATTTGTTTATTGTGCGATGTAGTGTAATAAATAAACATCCATGAGAGAGCATGAATGAATTCACTTAGCGTCGACTTACGTGGTGTCTCGGTCTAATAATTAGACTAAAATGCTGTAGTGATGGCAAACTTGTTCCTTGTAACTCCTCCAACGTGGAAATTTGGAGATGAGCGATCTGGCCTTAAGCAAGCTCTGAGTTGTGGTGACTTAAGGGGAATTGATCGGTTGCTTTTTAGTTTAACGAAAATGAAAACTAATGAAATGATTTGAAAATTTTGAGTTTTAACGATAAGGACAAAATAAAGGGTAAAGTGAATAATAACATGATTGACTTTTTAGTGTAAAAATATGATTTTTCGTTAAAATAAACAGTACCGAAAACTTTTTGTTAAAATTCCCTTAACGAAAAGAGGTTTTAGTTTGAAATAGTGAGAAATAAAAAGGAAATAAAATGTTTATTTATTTTCTTGCAACAGAAATGGGCATCTGTCGCCTATTATGAATGACGCGTGTCAGCCCTCTGGTTTCAACCAAAAATGCAAGATGAATCAGTGCCAAGTGCCTATATATATGTAATTGTATATCCATAGATCATCAAATTCCACTCACTCTTGTCGGAATTATTCCTTCAACGCAATCGGATCTCTCTCGCGCACACGCCCAAATCAAACCAATTAGCGAGTGTGATTCCTTCAATCCCTAGACCCTTTTTCATGTTGAATTTTCTGATCTTCTTGTCCATCAAATAATTATTAATAATTGCTTCACTCAGTTTGATTATTGTCATTGTGCTTGTGAGCCTGGAATTTGATTTTTTATTTATTTTTAATTATGTTTGAGTAATCTTTGTTGTTTGATCTGTTTGGTTGCCAAGAAAACGCGGGAAATTGTTTTGCTTCCAGTTGTACAAATTCAAGTGTTTAATCTCGATCCTGTACGGAAGTTTCCTCCGTTTCAGCTGCATCATTGGAATTGGAAATGGTAGTTTAGTTATGGCGATTTCGATTTGGTTGCTAGATTTGGAAGAAGAAAAAAAATTCATCAAGATGGTAGGCTTTTATTTTAATGGGTCATGAACTGATTGGGATTTTTTTATGAGTATTGCATAGCAAGCAAAGGATCCATTGATCAATTGATGTCGTCGTCTTCTATGCATTTAGTATTCTTGAGCCATTAATGCCGCCTGCGAATTAAGAAACTTTTGAATCTTGCAGTTTCTTCTGCGCCTACGTGCATGGACACGGTGGTATTCCCTTGTATCCCCGTGTCGTGTCATATTTCTTTGTGATCATACAGCAATTCTTCTTGTTAATTTGACGTATCCCCTTGTCGTGTCGTGGCCCCATGTCAGTGTCCGTGTGGATGCGTCGTAGTTCTGCGCAAATGGGCAGGGGATATATGTAATATGTTGTCACAGTATACATATATGTGAGCACGACCGCTCCGTGCGTGTGGATTTGAAAATGACCTTGTTGTCCGATGATATGTATGATTGATGAGTTTGATAATGTCGTTGCAGCTGGAGATGGGAATATATCTCAGCGCTCCAAAAACTGATAAGGTCTCAGAAGATGGTGAGAATGACAGACTTCGATATGGGTCATCCTCCATGCAAGGGTGGCGTTCAACCATGGAAGATGCTGTAAGCAAGCTTTATGTTATTCTTCTTAATTCGTATCCGCATTCCCTTTGATCAGGTTACTTGAGTAGTGAGATTTACATTTCACTTGCAATTGTCATACTTATTATCTCATGACATTTTGTCTGAACATGAAAGTGATATTCAGTTATTTATTGAGTATGCGGTATCCATATGCACCCATTATATCCAATTCTATAGAGTCCAATTACAGCATAACTTACATCCATATAGATACAGGTATATAATATATAGTGAATGCAGAGAGAGGAAGATTTTGCATGACTAGCTGGAAGTCGGTAACTTTATGACTGCTAGAAGTTTAGGCATCTAGCTAATGAGTGGAACCAAATATGCTCATTTTCATCTGATATATGTCCAAGGTTGTTCAAAGAGTCGTAATGATTCTTTTCAAACATGCCGTGCCAAAAAGAGAAGAGAATATAGTCTTTTATCCAGAGGGGTGTCTGGTGAACTAGTAGCTCTCAAATTTGCCATAGATTGTATACTGTTTTTCCTATTACCTACTAAAAATACTTGATTTTTGTTGTAGCATGCTGCTTATCCAGATTTTGACGGTTCAACATCTTTCTTTGGTGTTTATGATGGCCATGGAGGTTAGGTTTTAAGTTTTGTAATTTAACGTTTACTTTTTTATACTGTGATCTTTCATTTTGTAATTGGTTTTCATGTCCATGCTGGACTTCTCAAGTTGGTATTCTCTTCATGATCACGTACTTGGAATCAACATTTATTTTGTGTTTTAGATAAACCTCCAAAACTAATCTACTCAATCTTGAACCATGAGTTGAAAACATACGGCAATACTATTCTCCCAATTCTCATTGAAAAAAGTTAAACGAAATAAATTCCAAAAAAAAACGAATAAATTCCAACACCATGTGTGCGCAATACTTTGCATGAGGTTGGTAATAAAACCTAGTCCTGGAAATTTTGCTGTATATTTCTTGGATTTTCAGCTGCGAACCTTTCTTGAGTTGTCCCTTCCCACATCGTAGCCCTGCAGAAGGGACAGTGTTGTTTAGTTAGAGATGTTTGTGAGATGGGATTTCTTAATGTTTTAAGTTTTTAAAGGTTGGTACTATGTGATGAGGCCTTATCATCACTAGTCCTGGATTTGCAGGTAAAGCAGTGGCAAATTTCTGTGCCAAATATCTCCACCAACAGGTGCTCAAGGATGAAGCATATCTAGCTGGTGATTTAGGCAGTTCTCTGCAGAAAGCTTTCCTCAGGTTACTTAACCCCTTTGTATAATTAATGTTCACATTAGCAATTTCCAGCGCATGCATCTATGTTACCACTTTGTCCCAAAAACAAGGATGCAAGAACCTGTCTTTCTTCTGTATGTAATAAGTTGTAAGTCATCTTGCACCAATTCCCTAACATAGTTCATACTGACATACCATGTTCATGCTTTTGCTTTTATTATTATCGAGTTTATAGGATGTTAAATGTTTGTGTACATTGATGGAGGAGCCAAGTTAAAATTTAATAAATGCAGTTTACACATATAGTCTGCAAGTTCATTGTCTTTAAGTCTTTCTGTGTTACAATATTAATTTATTAGGTGTCATAAATTAGTCTTTATAATTCCTAAGTATATTAATGTGGATCTTTCCTGATTCATGTACCAATTAGCCTATAAAAAGGCTACTTTGTAAGGTAAGTGGTAGTGAAAAGAAATTCTGGGTTTCTTGCTTATGTGTGAGGCACAGCAACCTTGGAGTGATTCCAAGGAACTTTTGGTGTGAAGCTGAAGGCCTGTGAGATGCCGGAATTTTTTAAATTCTTGATTGGAGTGATTCCCATACACCTTTGGTGTGATGCCAAAGGCCGGAGTGAGTCCGGAATATGTTCTATATTTCCTATCCCTACCTATTGTCTACGTCATTCGTGTATAATAAAAGTCCCAAAACTAAAGAAATGGAACCACGTTCGGGGGCATGTAATTCTTATGAAGCTGTAATGTCAAATTCTATTGCAACATATGGGTGAAGCTTCATTTTGAATCGACTTTTAAAATTTACAATCTAATGATGGAATACAATAAGTGGAAGAAAGTTGTAATTAGGGGTAGGAATAATTTGTATATTTTGTCATCTTAAATTGCTTTTAACTGAGGCAGGATGGATGAGATGATGCGTGGACAAAGAGGCTGGAGAGAATTAGCCATACTGGGAGATAAGATAGACAAAGTTTCTGGTCTTATAGAAGGGTTCATTTTTTCTCCAAAGAGTGTTGAAGCTAAGAGTAGTGCATTCAATGACCATGTTGATCAGTGGTCTTCTGAGGAGGTACTCTTTACACATCAGCTGCATTTAGCAATTGTACTATATTCTCCATTTCTTTTGGTAACCATATCACCAGATGCACAAATGTTTTAGTGGAGACTGGAGACAGATTTGGCTTGTAACTGAGAATTTTTTTTTTCTTGTTGTATAAGAGTTTGAGATTTCTTGTCCTAGTTCTTCTAAATTTTAGGACTCTTGAAAATCTTCCTTATCAAGTTATAGAAGTACTTTGTATAGCATGGAAGTCATCATGGCAAGGTTTTCATAAGCTTTGAAGGCCTTGACGAAAAATTTCATCTAATTTCTTCAGTTTAACATGATTGACACTTATCAAACTCAAGATGAGGTGAACAACAATCTATATGGCAGCGGAGGGAGTGAATCATCATTAACTACCTGCCATTGACAGTTTGAGATGTTAGCCTTGATAGTTAATACTATGATAAATATATCTGGAATTTACTTGGTGTACTTAATTATTTTAAAATTTTAATATGTAACCGTATTTCATTAAGAAAAGTTTTTGGGTTTTACATCAGGGGCCTCATTCTGATTTTGATGGACCAAATTCCGGAAGTACAGCTTGTGTTGCTATTATCCGAAACAAACAACTTCTTGTTGCCAATGCTGGTGATTCTCGCTGCGTAATATCCAGGAAGGGTGAGGTATGCTGCAGTTTCAATGAAATTTTTTACCAATGGAATATATGTAATGATGTGTATTATGAGGCAGCTTTGTTCGCTTTTTTGTAATATACTGTCGTAGTTATTTCAGTTCCCTGTCTGCAAATGTCCCTGTCGATAAATTTTTCGTTTGGATCAATGTCAAGACCTGTAGTGCTATAATGTTAAGGAATATTTAATCATATGCAATACTCAAAGCTACATAGTTGTCTTTACTAGAGACTAGAGGTGAAGTTTTGTCTCTTTTTCTTAGCTCCTTAAGCTCCAATCACTTACTCTCGTTCTCAAATCCCTTTACAATCTTCTTCCTTTAGTTTGCTCCTTAAGGTATCCATGAAACCTGAGGTTGGATTTTAACTCGTCATATAATCAATATAAGTTTTGGAAAGCCTCAATGTATTCTTCCACCATCGAATTGTCCAAGCTATAATTGTCTCCAACTGTTTTTCCACCCATAAAGCATTTGGGGGCAGGTTTTGACTCTGAACTATCTCTGTGAGTGAGATGCCTGCTGTTCAAAATGTATTTTCAAGAGGTGTCAAACAAAGGATGGAAGATACCACAAAGTTAACTTTTCTTTGTTAGCGAGTATAATAGGAATAGGGTACAATCAAAGTGTACCAGCTGTTATTAGACATAAAACAGATCAGCAAACATAAAATGTTTGACACAGCAGCATCCTTCCAGACATAAAACTCAAACAAAAGCCTCCCAAACCACAATCAGGGAAATCGCAGAATGCAAAAGAGGCCGAACCCATAGATAGGAGAAAAACTTAAGTAGGGCAAGTGGGCCCCCTTTTTTGCCTCACTCTCTCTCACAAGCCCCTGCAGCCGGCCCCCGGCGTCATGTTGATGTGTCAACTTCTTAGTGGCTTCCCCTACATGCCGGACCATGTAGCTCCTCTACCGAAGTTTCTCTCCATAGAAAGGACCCAAAAGGTAGCCTTATTTCATTTATAGTCCCCAGTGTCTCCAATTTTTCCCTCAAACATCGGCTCAAAAGGATGGGTATAATCCCCCATCTGCTGCACTTTTCACTTCGGTAGAACTTCCTTAACAAACTGCTCCTGACCCCAACTTTTGTACCAAGGTTGTAGGAATAGATCAAATGAGTTTCTGCCATTCTGTTGCTTTACTGCTGAACCGCTGATCTTTATTAGGAATTTTGTCTGTGATTCCTTATTCAAGTTTTAAGTGCAGGCATATAATTTGTCTAAAGATCATAAGCCTGACATTGAGAATGAGAAAGAAAGAATTCTGAAGGCTGGTGGATTTATCCAAGTTGGAAGGGTCAATGGAAGTTTGAACTTGGCAAGAGCAATTGGTACAAAAAATTTCCTTGCCCTTTGAAAGGAGAAACTGGGAAATAACCTCTTTCTTTTTTTTCATTTGAATTTCATGTAATTATTTGCTGTTGCTTGCAGGGGATGCGGAATTCAAGCAGAACAAACAGTTGCCCGTTGAAAAGCAGATTGTGACTGCCAATCCTGACATAAATAGTGTATGCAGCATTTCATTTCAGTACTAAATGATGTGAAATTTGGATAAGAAATTTGAACCGTATATACTTACAATACAACCAATCTTATAAACAAAAACAAATTGTTTTTTTTTTAGGAGAAGTATTCTTGTCATCCAAGATATCTAGTCTAGATGCTAGTCAGACTTCCAAAGTTAAAGAAAGAAAGTGCTCTGTTTGATTTTATTTCTTTTTTGTTTTTATTATTTTGACTGAATAATATTTTCTTATAGACCATTCTTCAGAACTTGCTTCAGTTTCACTAATTTATGTTTTTAATTAAAAATTCCCTTTCATGTAGGTTGAGCTTTGCGATGATGATGAGTTTCTGGTCATAGCTTGTGATGGGATATGGTAAATTTTTCTTTGTAATACTTTCATATCGGAAAAATAAGTTCTTGTTGATTACAGTGTACATTTTATCTCCATCTGATATGTTTTCTAAAGGATGTAGGCATAAAACTCGAAATATTGGAAACGTCGAAGTACTTTATGGAGCTCAAATTGAGATGAGTGTTACTATAAACTCAGCTAGAGATACATCCTGGGGAACAACCGATCACTGTTTTATTTAGGATGGGCGTCACCCGTAAGTGGCGCGCTGTGTGGCCTGAGCACAGTGATAAGTGAGCAAGGGTCGCTGTATCTCCATCGGCACCCGGATGCAGTGTTAAATGAGCAAGGGGGCTATAGAAACTTCTTTTCGAACGACTCCACTCAAAGTTGTTTGGGAGCATATGCTCCTATCAACTTTACACGGGACACACAAAAGAAGTACTTTGATACTATTAGACGGGGAAGGGTGAAGAAGCTAGGACAGAAGGGTAGAGTTCAAGAGAGCAAAATGCGTTTAGGAACGTGGAATATAGGAACCTTGACGGGAAAATCTATGGAAGTAGTAGAAGTTATGGTGAGGAGAAGGATAAATATTATGTGCCTACAAGAAAACTAAGTGGGTTGGTCGTAAGGCAAAGGATCTAGAAAACTCAGGGTTTAAACTATGGTATTCGGGCACAAATAGAACGAGAAACGGTGTTGGCATCATCGTGGACAAGACCTTGACACAAGATGTTGTAGATATCAAGAGGGTAGGAGATAGAATCATGGCAATCAAGATTGTAATAGGACAAGAACTTATCAATGTGATTAGTGCGTACGCACCTCAAGTAGGGTTGGATACGAGTTCGAAGGAGAAATTTTGGGAAGACCTTGGAGACTTGGTGCAAGGAATTGCTCAGACGGAGAAGTTATTTATAGGAGGAGATTTAAATGGACACGTGGGCAAGGAGACAGGCAACTATGGAGGTTTTCATGGTGGCCATGGTTTTGGGGAGAGAAACGAGGATGGGGAAGCTATCTTGGATTTTGCAATGGCATATGATCTCTTCTTAGCCAACACCTTCTTTAAGAAGAGAGAAGAACATGTGATCACCTACAAGAGTGGGGCGTCAAAAACACAAATAGATTTTCTTCTAATGAGGAAAGGGGATCGTATAACTTGTAAGGATTGCAAAGTTATACCAGGAGAGAGCGTGGCTAATCAACATCGCTTGTTGGTGATGGATGTACATATCAAAAGAGTGAGAAAAAAGAACAAGACTTGGAAGTGCCCAAGGACTAGATGGTGGAATCTAAAGGAAGAAAAACAAGCCATTTTCAAAGAGAAAGTAATCACCCAGTGTGTGTGGGATAGAGAGGGGGAAGCTAACCAAATGTGGGATTCCATGGCTAGTTGTATCCGAAAAGTAGCAAAAGAGGTATTAGGAGAGTCCAAGGGCTTTGCCCCACACCAAAAGGAATCTTGGTGGTGGAATGAGGAGGTACAAACAAAGGTGAAGGCTAAGAAGGAATGTTGTAAAGCTTTATACAAGGATAGGACCGATGAAAATGGTGAAAGGTATAGAAAAGCGAAGCAAGAGGCGAAGAAAGCTGTGAGAGAAGCTAAGTTAGCGGCTTATGACGATATGTATAAGCGACTAGATACCAAAGAAGGAGAGTTGGATATCTATAAACTAGCTAGAGCAAGGGAAAAGAAGACAAGGGACCTAAACCAAGTGAGGTGCATCAAGGATGAGGATGGAAATGTTCTTGCTACAGAGAACGCGGTTAAAGACAGATGGAAAGGTTATTTTCATAATCTTTTCAATGAAGGACATGAAATGAGTGTTTCTTTAGGGGAGTTGAGTAACTCAGAAGAGTGTAGAAACTACTCCTTTTATCGTAGAATCCGGAAGGAAGAAGTGGTTGTAGCTTTGAAGAAGATGAAGCATAGAAAAGCAGTAGGCCCAGACGATATACCAATCGAAGTGTGGAAAGTTTTGGGAGAGACAGGTATAACATGGCTCACTGACCTTTTCAATAGGATTTTGAAAACGAAGAAGATGCCAAATGAGTGGCGAATGAGCAATTTGGTGCCTATCTACAAGAATAAGGGCGATGTACAAAATTGCATGAACTATAGGGGTATTAAGCTAATGAGTCATACAATGAAGCTTTGGGAAAGAGTCATTGAGCATAGATTGAGGCAAGAGACACGGGTTTCGGACAACCAATTCGGGTTCATGCCAGGGCGCTCAACAATGGAGGCAATCTATCTCTTACGAAGATTGATGGAAAGATATAGAGATGGGAAAAAGGATTTACACATGGTCTTTATAGATTTGGAAAAAGCGTATGATAGGGTCCCAAGAGACATTCTTTGGAGGATTTTAAAGAAGAAAGGAGTACGAGTAGCATATATCCAAGCTATACAGGATATGTATGAAGGAGCAAAGACTGCCGTAAGAACTCATGAAGGACAAACCGAAAGCTTTCCCATAACTGTAGGATTACATCAAGGCTCATCCTTAAGTCCTTACCTTTTTGCGTTGGTAATGGATGAGTTAACAGGACATATTCAAGATGATATTCCTTGGTGTATGCTTTTCGCAGACGATATAGTGTTGATAGATGAAACTCAGGAAGGGGTAAATGCAAAGCTTAACCTTTGGAGAGAAGTGTTGGAATCTAAAGGTCTTCGCCTGAGCCGATCAAAGACAGAATATATGGAGTGCAAGTTCAGTGCAAATGGAGGCCAAAACGAGTTAGGGGTGAGGATCGGAGATCAAGAAATACCAAAGAGCGACCGTTTTCGTTACCTAGGATCTATCTTGCAAAAGAACGGAGAATTAGATGGAGATCTCAACCATAGAATACAAGCTGGATGGATGAAGTGGAAGAGTGCATCCGGCGTGTTGTGTGACCGCCGTATGCCACTGAAGCTCAAGGGAAAATTTTATAGGACGGCATAAGGCCGGCGATGCTGTATGGCACAGAATGTTGGGGCGGTGAAGCATCAACACGTACACAAAAATGGGTGTAGCGGAGATGAGGATGCTTCGTTGGATGTGTGGGCACACGAGAAAGGATAAGATTAGGAATGAGGATATCCGGGGTAAAGTAGGAGTAGCCGAAATTGAAGGAAAGATGAGAGAAAATCGGTTACGGTGGTTTGGACATGTGCAAAGAAGGCCTACTGACGCTCCGATTAGAAGATGCGACTATAGGACAGAGGTTCAGGGCCGAAGGGGTAGAGGAAGACCTAGGAAAACTTTGGAAGAGACTCTAAGAAAAGACTTAGAGTACTTGGATCTAACGGAGGACATGACACAGGACAGAACACAATGGCGTTCTAAGATTCATATAGCCGATCCCACTCAGTGACTTGGATTTTCCAAGTCTCCAACCGAGAAGTTTTCCTCACTCGGGAAATTAAGGGAACACTACCTCAACCTACATGCTCCACTCACAAAGCTTCAACATACAAGCTTCAACAAAAGAAAATTCAAAGAACTTAGCGAAGAAGGTTTTGGTGTATTTAACACAATACGTTGAAATGAAGGAAAACTTATTTATTGATATCCCCGATAAGTTACAAATATGTACATATACTTGAGTCAAAATAAACAAACAAGAGGGAGCCTTCACAAAGGTTGCTTAGGAGAAGTCTCAGCAGTCGGTAGAGCCCCAGAAAGAGAAGGCACCAGAGGGGGATCATTCGGAGCCTCAGTACTGGACAAAACCCTAGAAGGAGGAGGCATCAGAGGTTGATCATTTGGAGCTTCATTACGCGGTACAGCCCCAGAAGACGAAGGCAATAAATGCCTTTGGAACAAACCCACAAATCTCTGATGATCAAGTAAAACCTGACCATCAGATTCCTTCATCTGGTCAAGCTTCCTCTTCATGTTTGTAGCATAGTCATGTGCGAGCCGGTGCAACTGTTTATTCTCATACTTGAGCCCTCTAATCTCCTGTTTGAGACTCATCACTTCAGCCGCCAATGATTCAACTTGGCGGGTTCGAGCAAATAGGCGTTGGGCCATATTAGACACAGAACCTGCACACTGAACACTGAGAGCCAGAGAATCCTTAACAGCCAACTCATCAGACCGTTTGGAAAGTAGTCTGTTATCTTTAGGAGTGAGAAGGTTCCTGGCCACTACCGCAGCGGTCATATCATTTTTCATCACGGAATCCCCAACGGTAAGAGGACCAGTAGGGAGACGAAGGACGAAGGATGGGCGCCATATGTTGTCTGGAGAAGGCGGGGCTGCCTCTTCAACAAGGTTCAAGTCAAAACGACGGTCGGAGGGGCCAGACATTTTTCAAAGGTGTTGAAGAGAGAAGAGGTCGGATAAATCAAGATCTTAGAAGTGCAAGAATGGAGCTTCTACTGGTGGATATTTAAGTGTGCTTTGGAACTTAATGTCAGCCCCTATAAAAATCTGCACTCGACGAAACTTCAGAAATCGAAGAAGCGCCTGCTCAGAACTCGAAGAGGCGTTTGCTTTCTCAAAAGCTGGGCTGCTCAGAGACCTCGAGGGTCGATCTCAGAAATCGAAGAGGCGTTTGCTTTCTCAAAAGCTGGGCTGCTCAAAGACCACGAAGGCCGATATCAGAAATCGAAGAGGCTTGCTTTCTCAAAAGCTGGGCTGCTAAGAGACCACGAAGGTCGATCTCAGAAATCGAAGAGGCACCTACTTTTCCAGCCTTGTCAGCACTTGTCACACGCACACTCAGCTTTGCGGAAATTATGGGCATTCTGTTGAAGATTTCTGGCGAAGTAGAAAGCACATGAATCGTACTGTTCACTTCCCATACGCAACAGTAACTCATGGGTACCACAAATAACTTTGCCAAAGTTCTCTGATAAAGTTGAGACACGTGAAGCTTGCAGCTCCCGCTACATCGCTCTGACCAAGAAGGGTAAAAGAATTGCAAAGAAACAACACTAACAAAGTTTAGACACATAAATTTTGAAGGTCTAGCTACCATATTATTACCCACAAGGGTAAAGGAACAGTACCACTGCTGGATAATTGGAAAGTCCCGGTGTGTCAACCTCTGTGCTTCGTGGCAAGGTAGACTAGCAAACATGCCAACCTTTACTCACATTCAAGAAAACACTCTCAACAGGATTGCTTGCTCCAAAATCAAAGAGGCACCGCCCTCCGAATCTCGAGAGCCAGACTCCTAACATGATTACTTTCTCAAAAATCGAAGAGAGGGTAAAGGAACAGTACCACTGCTGGATAATTGGAAAGTCCCTGTGTGTCAACCTTTGTGCTTCGTGGCAAGGTAGACTAGCAAACATGCCCAACCTTTACTCACATTCGAGAAAACACTCCCAACAAGATTGCTTGCTCCAAAATCGAAGAGGCACCGCCCTCCGAATCTCGAGAGCCAGACTCCCAACATGATTACTTTCTCAAAAATCGAAGAGAGGGTAAAGGAACAGTACCACTGCTGGATAATTGGAAAGTCCCTGTGTGTCAACCTCTGTGCTTCGTGGCAAGGTAGACTAGCAAACATGCCCAACCTTTACTCACATTCGAGAAAACACTCCCAACAAGATTGCTTGCTCCAAAATCGAAGAGGCACCGCCCTCCGAATCTCGAGAGCCAGACTCCCAACATGATTACTTTCTCAAAAATCGAAGAGACACCGCTCTCCGAATCTCGAGAGCCAGACCCCCAGCAGGATTGCTTTCTCAAAAATCGAAGAGGCATCGTTCTCCGAATCTCGAGAGCCAGATCCTCGACAGGATTGCTTGTTCGAAAACCGAAGAGGCACCACTTTCCCAACTTCAAGAGCTGGATCTCCTTGGATAAAGCTTGTCTGTAATCTTCACACGCAACATCAGCTTTCCAGATACCACAGACCACTTTTTCAAAGTGCTCTGACAGAGTTAAAACACGTGAAGCTGGCAGCTCCCACTACCGTGTTATGACCAAGCAGGGTAAAGGAATAGCATTATTACTTGATGTTAGGGAGACTCCTATATATGTCGACCTCCATCCCTAACGGACAGGCAGACCTGCAAAAATGCTCAACCCTTTCTCTTATCTGAGAGGGCACTCCCAACGAAGCTTTTCGAAATATTCAGCTTTCTTTCCCCCCGATAATACCTCTGTAAACAAGCTATACTAGAGCAAGAATATCTCATATCATCAGGGTTAAAAGCAAGAGTATCCCATATCATGCTTTTTCCCTGTCTTTTCCTTTGGCCTTGTTCTTACCTGCAAGACAAGGAGAACGAGAGCAATCAGTCAGCACTTGGAATCAAGCTTCCAGCCAGGAACTGACTGCCTGGAACCCCTTACCTGATTACTTACCTGGCATTGCTCTCGAGTACTCATCTTCAACATCTTATGCTTCCAGGGAAGATACCGCATCTGCCTGAGGAACAAATAGGGCAAGTGAGAAGGATACAAAGAAGCATGGGGAGACAAGCGTAACAGCACACGTGCCGATACATCCACTACTCTGTCAAAAGCAAAAGTATCCCATATCAGCAGGGTCGAACGTACTCTAGATTTGATGGACTTGTTTTGACCCTCAAATTCTTCAGTCGGCCTTATACTCTGGATGAAACCAGAAAACCCTGCAGCCCGGTTCAAGAATAAGCCTGTGGAAAGTTACTTCTTCAAAAGCAAAAGTATCCCATATCATCTCTTCTCATTTTTCTTCTCTTTATCCTTCATGCTGCCTGCAAGATAGGGAGAATGTGAACAACCAGCTGGAGCTCTGATTGCTTACCTTGTCTGTCACCTCTTTCAGCAGATCCCCTAGCCCGGCGACTTGGGGGACTCCTACTACATGGTTTGTATCGCGCTTGACCAAGCCTGAAACTACAAGTAAGCTTCAAGTGAAATTGATACATTACCTTGTGCATCTCTACCAGTTACAGATACCACCCCTGGATGGAGGAAGAGTACTTCCAGAGAAGATGCCACATCTACCTATGAGACAGATAAGGCAAGTCAAGACGATACCACACTCCGGTACTTAGAAGTTTCGTGGTTACGAGATCATTCTCCCACAATATTTCCTAATGTCATTTGTACTAAATCATTCACTTGTACTCACTAAAGGAGAGCTTGAACCTATGTACTTGTGTAAACCCTTCACAATTAATGAGAACTCCTCTATTCTGTGGACGTAGCCAATCTGGGTGAACCACATATATCTTGTGTTTGCTTTCCTAATTCTATCTATTTATATACTTATCCACACTAATGACCGGAGCAATCTAGCGAAGATCACAAAAAGTGACCGTTTTCGCTACCTAAGATCTATCTTGCAAGAGAATGGAGAATTAGATGGAGATCTCAACCATAGAATACAAGCTGGATGGATGAAGTGTAAGAGTGCATCCGGCGTGTTGTGTGACCGTCGTAGGCCACTGAAGCTCAAGGAAAAATTTTATAGGACGGCAATAAGGCCAGCGATGTTGTATGGCACAGAATGTTGGGCGGTGAAGCATCAACACGTACACAAAATGGGTGTAGCGGAGATGAGGATGCTTCGTGGGATGTATGGGCACACGATAAAGGATAAGATTGGGAATGAGGATATCCGAGGTAAAGTAGGAGTAGCCAAAATTGAAGGAAATATGAGAGAAAATCGGTTCCGGTGGTTTGGACATGTGCAAAGAAGGCCTACTGACGCTCCGGTTCGAAAATGTGACTACGGGACAGAGGTTCAGGGCCGAAGGGGTAGAGGAAGACCTATGAAAACTTTGGAAGAGACCCTAAGAAAAGACTTGAGTACTTGGATCTAACGGAGGACATGACACAAAAACGAGCGCAATGGCGTTCTAGGATTCATATAGCCGACCTCACTTAGTGGGAAAAGGCTTTGTTGTTGTTGTTGTTTGTTCTTCAACTTGATACATTAAGATAATAACAGGCACACGTAGACTTTACATTCTGCTACTTTGTTGAAACGCTGATGCACGCTCTCTCCAGGGACTGCATGTCAAGTCAACAACTTGTGGACTATGTCCGGGAACAATTAAAACATGTAAGTTGACGAACTTCACTGAGATTTCCAAATATATACCAATTTGAGTGACATATGTTTTCGTACGATATTGCAGGAAAGTAAACTGTCAGTGGTTTGCGAGAGAGTGTTTGAAAGGTGCTTGGCGCCATCATCTGGTGGAGAGGGATGTGACAACATGACAATGATCTTGGTTCAGTTTAAGAAACCTGTTGCTTCAGCTGCATCTGTTGGGAACCAGCCCATCGCGTCTAATCCGCCATCCGAGAAGGAAAAAACCGCAGCAAACTAAATAAATCTTCTGGCGGCCCTAAAATGATGACTATATAGAAGGACTGCATTTCTGCAAGTTATTCAAAGTTTGTTCAGATTAGGATGGCGTTCACATGACAGTACACGTTCATAGTATTTGTCAAATAGCAGTATAGCTTTGAGTTATGTACATGCCCGGGAGTTTGTCTTTCGGTTCTCTCCACAGGTTGAAATTTATAGGACGGAACATTTTCTTTGGATTGTAACCTGACCAAACAAAGATGAAGAATGTTATTCGTTTTCTTTCGTATTGCTTGTGAAGTTGGAGCAATAATGCATTGAATCAACATCATGCAGTGGTTGTACTTCAAGTATTTTTGCAACTTAAAAATATTTTCTCTAAACGAGTCAGGCTTCAGAAATATTGATCTATTATGCCAATAAATTCCTCATATAAGAGGGACCTTCAATTGAGGGACAGAGGGCTCATTATATATTTGTCTTTTTTCTTAATTATAATTAAATATCTTGATGGTGTATGAAACAATACAAAGTCAGAGAATCTTGTTAGCATCTCTCAACAAAACAATAATTTGGTAGCAAAACTCTGCAATTAGTAAATTCAATTTGGACGACATGCCATGAAATTAACTTAGCTGCTGTAGTATACAGACCACTCGGGTTACGCTCCATCTTCTCTAGAATACGCTTCTGGCCAATTCGTAGGAAGTTACGCACAGAAATTCAACTCTGTTTTCTACGTGGGTTTCAGCGTGGTAATTGTTATCTCTAATGTCCTTGAAACTTAGTAACGTTCTTCCGGAACGTGGAGAATAGAGTGCCTCAGCAATGGTCAAGATTGTACCATTGGACAACATTTATACGTGCCTTACCACCGTATCCTTCGATCAGGTTGGATGGGCCTGAGAGGGTTGTCAGAGGTGCATTCTTAGGTACGAAGTTAGTGAAAATAGATGCGTTCACGCAAAATAGTATGCGTGGTTGCACTATCTGCCAGACAACTAACTTTCCCACTAGTCATACCTAGAATGAAAAATTAATTTGAATCGGTCACATGCATAAAAGTTTATAAAAACAAGTATCAATTCAAAAAATTTCATTTATTCAAGGATTAAAAAACTTAATATCCAAAATAAATCGCCAACTAATAATCCAAAACATAAAAGGAAATTGTTCGAAATCAACAAAAAACAAGGTGGGGTTCGGCCACTAGGTGGAAATTCGGCCCCAATTGTATTATTTTCAACTAAAAAATAAGTCTATGTCTAAGATTCTAATCTTCCATAGGAGTGGTATCCTCCTGAAAGTCAGAAACCTCCATCTTTGTAGTCTCCGGTTCGTCCACTTGCAGGAAGTTTGATTCAAACTTCATTACGACGAGAATGATATGCATCCACAACCTTCTTGGGAGCACGGCAAATACGGGACCAATGGTCCTTTGAACCACAACGATAGCACATATCGTCATTCATTGTGGCAGGTGCTTTGCCCTTATTCTTGAAAGTTCGGGGCCTTGGGAGCGAGGTTTGGGCGCTTCTGGGCTTTGTTTCCTCCCTTGGATGGGCCTTGGCTTTGTTGACCTTGGTGGGATGGCTTCTGGCCGCCCTTACCACGCCTCTTTTGGCGTTTTGGGTGCTGATTATGCTATAATGTGCTTCAGCACAGCAGTAGCCCCCAGTAGGTCAAGCTTGATGATTCTTCATCAACAGCTGGTTCTGCTTTTCAGCAAGAAGTAAAAACAGAGATCAAATCCGAGAACTTAGTGAACTTCTGAGCCTCTATATTGTTGCTGCAGGACAATATTAGAAGCAGAAGGTCGAGTAGGTCTTCTCCAGGAGATCCTCTTCAGTCAAAGTTTCATTGCAAAACTTGAGAAGTGATCGGATTCGACAAACTTCAGAATTATATTCATTCACAGACTTAAAGTCTTGGAAGCGCAAGTGCTGCCAGTCGTGGTCTTGCTTCAAGCAAGAATATGTCCTTTTGGTGATCGAAACGATCAGCCAAAGCGACCCATAATGCACGTGGATCCTCCTCAGCAAGGTACTCAGTTTGCAGAGCGTCATGGATATGTCTTCAAATGAAGAACATAACAGTGGCTTTTTTCAGCTTCGCCAACAGGTGCATCCGTTGCTTCTTCAATAGCAGGACGCAAGTTCTTTGCAGTGAGGTGGAGCTTCACATCTTGAACCCACTTGAGGTAGTTCCTTCCAGAAACCCTCCAAAGCGGTGAAGTCGAGTTTGTTCAAATTCGACATGTTCCTATCACAAAATGGATGAACAAGATGTGGTTAGTGTAATGGAGAAAAATCAATCCATTCACATAGGAGTAGAACATACAGGTTCTAATAGACATGTATTGGTTTTAATTTTGCATGGAAAAACTTCGGGTTTTCATGGGTGATATGTTTAAGTGAAAAACTTCAGGTTTTCAAACAAGGCATGTTTAGAAGAAACTTCGGGTTTCAAAGTAATTATGAACTTCAGGTTCATATATTCCTGCAGGCAAACACAAATATATATGCAAACAAATATGCAAAGAATATATGCAGAAATATTGTATAATGATAAGTGAATTAATTTTTTTTTTTGTAGGCGGGCCACATCAGGTTGGCCCAAAGAAATAAAATTTTTTTTTTTTTCTTTCACACACGGGCTGCTTCAGGTAGGCCCAGGTGCAGAGGCCCAAAGAAAATGCCTCAATCGTGTGTATCACGATGCAGGGAAAGCACAACAGCCACACGGGCTGGGTTCCGCTGCAGTATGGGGCATGGGAGAACACCAGAGCCCATTTGGGCTGGTGTGATGTGTAACGCTGGGCTGAAAAAATGAGGGGGTCGAACTGGGCTTGCAGTGGTGAGCCCAAAAGAAAAAAATTTATTATTTTCAGCCTGAGTCGAAGCCAGGCCCAAAAAATTTGGGATCGGGCTGGATCCAAGAAATCCTAGCGAGGCTAGGTGATTCCACCGGAGAAGATGATCGGCGCCACCACTGCAGGTGGGCAAATCTTGGACGAGAAGACTCGGAGGTACCCTTCTGGGTGTTTTTTCGACTATGATACAACATGGAGAAATTAAAATCCTCAACATTGAGAAATTAAAATCTCAATTGTTGCAAATCAAACCCTTAGAAATTTCGAATCGGGTTTTTAAAAAAAAAACCGATGAGATTCAATTGATCTCGGTCGGTCAATCGATGTCAGGGACGAGCTTCAGGCTGTTAGACAAGTTGACCCCGAGGTGAGGATGGGCTGCAAGCCATCGTACAATGGGAGAGACGCCATAAACGACGTCGGGTTTCTGGGTTGGAGAAGAGCTGCATGCTCTCGGCTTGGGGGTTGCGATGCAGGCTTCAGGCCTAGCTAAGGAGAAAGGATGGGCCATCGCAAGCTGCGGGCCTTGCAATATGCAAAGGCCTGGGTTCGAAAGAACCCTAATTTTTCCGATTCCAATTTTTCAATTTTTATCAATTAGATGCATATATAATTCAATGAATCACATATTTACTTTGATGCATATGCAAATAATAGTTTCAATGCATGTACATATGTAAGATTCAATTCATGGCAAATATCAAATTCACATAATTGTAGCAATTTTGGTTATGAAGCATACACAATTTATGTAGAATCTAAAATACGTTAAGCGTAAAGTTGGGTCATGCATCATGGTGAATGTTCATGCTATCAGGGCTTGCAAAATATCGAGTTAAAAGCCGTTGTTTGGAAAGAACATGATTGCGTAATGATATGGATGAACTGGTTTGATGCAGAAAAAAAATCTCCAACGTCAGATTCCTAAGCGCAGCGGTAAGAGCGTGCTGATAACGTGTTGTGGTCTATTTTATCTGACAGAGAGACTAGGGCTGGCGGCAGAGAAAGAGAGAAGAGAGATGTGTGTTTGTAGAATTGTAGGGGAATGTGTGTGTTGTTATCCCTCCTACATTGTGCCTTTATTTATAGTAGTAAAGGTAGAGAAGATATTTCTTCTCCTCCAAGTAATACAAGTTGTAATAGGAAAGGATAACTAGAATCAATGCTTATCTAGGATTTACACAATCATACTTAAACTAGGAATGTTTACAACAATTTGGGGGTTTTAAAGTTTATATTTTTACTTTTACTTTTATCCCTTGAGTTAGAGATGGTCTTATATTTTAAGCTCATATCTACCACTTGCTAAGAAAGTGGGTCTTGTAGTAGTAGGTTAGCTTTTTCCTCCTTTTCTTTTGCTTCCACTACTCCTTGTCTTCCCACATGGATGAATCACTTCTCCTTTCATCATTTGGTCCACAATCAATGCATGCTATTATTCATAGTAGGTGAGTTTTTCCTCCTTTTATTTTGCATTTAGTGGCACAGCTGCTAAAGTTTCCTCATAACATACTTCTATGTTTTGATCGCTAAGAACGCATCATTAAATAGATTATCACCAATTTTGGATATGTTACCTTAGACACAATTTAGAGCAACTTTCACGAAGAAGTCGTTTTTATTTTGGGCACTTTAAGTTGATGTTTTGAGCTCCACATTCTGACCAAGGGCGGAATCAGAATTTTTTTTTTATAGGTGAGCTAGCTAAAAAAATTATGCTAAAATCAAATGATTTTTTTTTTTGCTACATACATATTATATGCAAAAATTTAAGTTTAACTTTCGTATTTGTATACTTAAAATTTGTTTGGCATGAACTCAATAAGTTTCCCAATTGCAAATTGCAAAAATTACAATGAACCATCAAATTTCACATATATTTAGATGCAAACACAAGAAGAAGATATAAAACTTGGTATCTCAATTACAACCACACAACCAGCACAAAAACAAAAACTATGAAAGTAGAAGTAAAGGCAATCTTTAAAAAAAATGTTGAATGAAACTAATATAAAGCCCATTGAATCAAAGCATAATAATTTTTAACAAAATTACATCACAATTTCCATGGTAATTTTATATTTTTAGTTGCTAAATATTCACTGGGTTAGTTTCATTAAAAATAATTCTCCTTGCACTTTTTTTTATGTGTCTATTATATTAGAATATACGCTAAAATATATATACACATGTTGCCACAAACCCTCCTTGGGTTACAGCCCCGTAGCCTTTGGTGTGGCTACGCCAGTGAATCTGACTGAAGATCATGAGCTGCGAATTTGAACACCTGTTGGTGTGTGGGATGCACTTGGAATGCGACCGAGCTTAGATTGGTGCCAATTTTGGACATGTCGTAGTCGACACAATTTGAAACAACTTTCATGAATAAGTCATCTGGATCCAAGCAGTCTAAATTGATGGTTTGAGGCCTGGGAGTTGACTGATGAACATGAGCTACCAATTCCAGCTTGCTGCCACAACTTGCATGTAGCCATGCACATGTATCAATTA